AGAGTGTAAATGATTTCAATTTTTATGCAGTTTCGTGTTATCATTTTGTTCATTATACTATACTTTACTTAGATATTACAAGAAGACAAACCACACAAAGTCTAAAATTGTAACATAAGGCGTCTTTAAGTCCTTTAGACATAAAAAACGTCTCATGACCCAATTTTAGACACTTTTTGTTATCTGGGATACACACAATTAAATTACATATCTACTCTTATCATTTCAAGATTGAATATTCATATGCTTATCCTTTCTTTTGTTTATAAGTTATTAAGTTGATTAGATTATTTATATTTATAAAGATCTATTATAAATATTTTGCCTTTAAAAAAGTGTGAAATGCAAAATTTGTGTTACATTAATTAAGAATAGTCTATTTCCTTGTACGTAAAATTTACGTACAAGGCAATAGCAATATTGTATTACTTAAGATTAATAACGTTTTAAGGTTAAAGATACAGATTCCATTATTAAAAGTTCTCTCATAGCAGCATTCGTAAAACGTTAACTTCGTACCCGCCAAAGTACCATAACACGTGGGTCTGTTGAAGCACGCGGCAAAACTTTCCACGTGAATATCGAAGATATTCGCTATTCAGACTCCACTTGAACCGGTCAAGTAGTATACCGCTCGTATTCGCGGGCCGCGTGTGGAGTGGGCGGATTTCCGACCGGCGCAGCACGGCGTGGGATTTAAACTGTCTGCGAAGTTGGCTCTCGCGCTCCCTTTTCCAACCCTTCGCTCTTTATCGTCGACTCCGCGAGCATCGTTTTCATCCCTCTCTCATCGGTGAGGGATGCTGCATTTGGTCTGCGTGCATCTATATATCTCTCCTCCTCCCCCCCCCCTCTCCCCTCTCTCTTTTTCTCACTCATTGTGAATGTGCACGCGCGAGCCAATCACCACAGACAAAACTCACCCCGGCATGTGTGTCAAACTGCGGTGAGGTGCTTGTGCTGCGTTTATGTGCGCGTGCATGCCCACCGTTAAAACCGGATGACCCACGAAATATCGGGGTGGCTGGAGTAAATGCGATTACCGTCGATATCCTCGAATCGTGCGCCCCCAGCAGGATTATAGAAATTCATTTATTGCACAACGGGTGTATTTGTTATTTGCGCAGTTCGTATCGTCGCGATGCTAATTTCAATTAAATGAATTCCACAAGACGTTAAATTTAGTTGAAAATTCCTTTTTCGTGCTACTCTGCGCCCAATTTCGCGACTATGCATCTCAATCTGGAATAGATGGATATCACTATGTTGCTAGTTCTAGACTATATTAGAGTACTCTGTAACGCATGAATATACCATTAATATGCCTGTAACGAGCGAGCAAGCGAGCGAGCAAACGGCTTTGCGATAACGTTGCAGCAAGATCCCTCCAATATGACCAGCGGCGATACATCGATTATGTGAACTCGCAAATTGCAAGCGTGTGTCTCCAGTGCGCCCTCGTCCTCCCGCTCCCTCTCTCTCTCTCTCTCTCGCTTTATTAAACTCTTGAAATTACATTCCGCAGCGCGTGAGCTTGATAACGATGTCTCGTTTTTCGAGCCAACGAAGCAGCCCTTCATCGAGCGTGGGGGTGCGATTTGCCGGTCGATAACTAATTAGTCGTGCCGCGCGAGATTTTTAAGCTGTCGCAACTGGCGCGGAAGATTTCTCATTAGAATGATGGTTATGTTCTCTCCAACGTTTCAAATGATATTTAAATTCTACTCCCGAGATCTCCTCTCTCCGCAGTGCAGATACTCGAGGCGCTTACGTCCTGAACTTACCTATTATCCCCTGGAAGTGACCCGTTAGCCGCTTACCAGCAAGTTATCCGCTTCCCGAGCTAATTTAGGCATGCGTTCTTAGCTTCTCGTTTCGTTTGTCACTAAGAACTCTTTCCTGCTCATACTGACCTGCTGGAACAAAAAACGATTCTACATTGAGTGTCCATGAGATTATTAATATATGTATTCAGATAGAAAGTTTGCTCTAAATTTATCAGAGTTAACCTTGATTGATAGCGACAGGTATTTGCAGCAAGATTTATTTTATGTATTTAAAATTTTATTCGTTTTCTATATTGTATTGCAATTTTTCTGTATGTCTACGAAATTGTACTGTGCTATTGTTAAATAGCAAAGATCGCATTACTCTATGCCAGTCTATACTATCGGAATTAATCTTAATTAATAACAAATAATTAATTTCATATTTAATTTTTTATTTATACATTATATATGTATATATTCATATCTCAAATTACTTATATCACAATTTTCTTCATGTGAATTTTTTGGATATCTCTCATAATTTTATATGTAGAACTGTTAAATATTATAGCTTTTCTACGCTATAATGTCTCGTATCTTATAACATTTTAAATTAAATAAATAATAATTAAGAAAAATCCCTGCATTTTTGAAGAGTCTGGAACGTTATTCTTTCACGCGACCTAAAACCTCTCTCCTGTAATGTACTCTCTCCGGTAATGTACGTAGCGACAAAAACTAAGTATGCCGTTCTTCAATAATTGCGAACGCGAAACCTCAATCCGCTGGCGAAAAATTTAATCTGGAAATTTCGGTTCTACCTGGTATTTAGGTCGGGCTGCACTTTTATCGCACGCCCAATATTTTTGAACGCGCGTGACGTGCGTACGATGGCGCGTGCACGTGAATCTCTCGCCACTGAAAACCCCGTATTTCAAACCACAGTAAAGCTTTGCGGTCTACCCGGCTAAAATTTTTACTTTCGGTGAGCCAGCTGTCAATCATAAGATTTAATCGCTTCAAAAAGCGAACATGGCGTCCTATATATGAAACATTAATAAATGCCGCTCTTTATATCTGTGACAGGAATTAAGATTCAATGAATTTTTGTATACATTATTATATAAATTATAATATATACATATTATATATATAATATTTAAACTATTATGTATAAAATATACAAAATATTTACCACATATCTTTCATACTTTACAAGTATGTTAAATTCAATTTAATTTCTCCGCTTGCATATAATTTATAAAATACATTTTCCATTTAATTATACCTTCTTAGACATTTACTCTAGAAAATCTCGCGAAACACATTTTCGAAACCAGTTTGAACATCACGTTTGTCCGACAAGAGCAGAAATAAAATAAAACGCTGATTCTCTCCTATCAATCAGTTTGATGTTACCGCGCATAGATCATCGAGGTCATAAATCTTCAACTCGCGAACATCCGCGCTCCTCGATGAGTTCGTCCAAAGTATCAACACACATGCATTCGCATTTTGTGAAGAATATGCAGACGAACTCTTGCATATTTAAAATCGCCTTTGTCGTTCAGATACAAATCAGGTGATAGTCGCATTCTATAAAAACAACCTATAAATTTGGAGCGTCTCGAACCATGGAAAGTTGCTTCGTTTTATCTCACCCCCTTCTCCCTATCTCATCCCAACTCCAGTTCGCGGGGTGAACCGAGGGCTTTCCGGGGATTAACCTTACCCGCGACTCCGTGCCAGTAATTTCCAATTCGACTGCCCGACCTGATCTCCGTGTTAATTAAACCCCTCCTCGCTAGTTATACCGATAGCTTTCGCGGAAGAAGTTATACAAAGCTGAACAAATTTTTAATCGAATATAGTTGATTTCAAACGGCTTGAATTGGTCGCACTGACCGATTACGATATTTCGCGCGGTAATGCTGTTTATTGGTATCAATAAATCAATAATCGTAAAATATTTACAATAAAAATAAATCTTTTTCAACGGATAACCACACTGTAAATTCAAATGTATAAAAAAGTGACTTCAATGTATGATTAGTGATTAGTTTTCCGTATAAAAATAACACACTGGTACTGCATACAAATATGGATTTACACATTTAAACGTGTATATAGTATAATATCGTTTTTACATAGAAAACTAAATAACACATATATATTGAAGTCATTTTTTAATCTTTTTACACACTTAGACTTCAGAGTGTAAGTAGTGTAAAAACCTATAACTAACTTGGAAAAACTTCGTTAAAAATGTCGAAGTATGACAGAATTTGAAGAAGTTAAACTGTTTAGTTTGTCCTATATTACTGAAAATCTTTATGACCTTTAACCTTTTACGGTCAACTGATTTGACTTATACTTTACTGTGAAGTAATAATAAGTAGATATCTGTTGTCTCAAAAAAAGAATTTGAAAAAGTTAAGCCGAGAAATTTTGTGGACGGACGGCCAACACGGTGAAATTATAAAATAGTTTATTATTACGCGCCGCACTACTTAATAAAAGTGAGCAAGATCCATTTTAATTGCAAGATTTTATTGTTCGTGTAAATAAAGGGTGAATATTTATTCTTTAGCATGGTACCGATGTAAATTCGATAAGTAGACTGATTCGCTCATACGAAATCGAGAGACGGATTTCCAGACGGATTATAATTAATTTGAGATTATTCAAGTTAGTCGGATTGACACTGTTGTTTCCTATTCCCTTTCCGTCTTACTACTAGACTGCAAATGAAAAGAGAATGCTTAATTAACCCTGCTTACCGTACTGGATGTTAATGCGATTGCTTACTGCTCTACTAAAAATATAAAGGTAGTCATGTTTAAAACTAAAAAGATCTTTAATCAGCTTAATGCGTGTCAGGAAAATCTAAACTATGGTCTTAATTATGTGGAAGAAGTAAAAATATAAAAAAAAAAGAAAAAAAAATACAATTGATTAAAATCAAGAAGTTAATCATTCATTAATTCAAAGCGAATGTTTTGAATGATACAAAAGCTTTGATATTTCAAGATAATCATTGTTCTGCATTTTCCAGATATAAAATAACTATCCATTTCCAACATAGCGTATTAAAATGTATATTACCGTTAACGTCAATGTTCTCTGTTCCGTTGAGTTCACATTACTTGCTGTATAATAAATAAATTTCTAATGTTACCACAATACATGTTATAGTAACCATAGCAATCCCCATCTCGAAGTAGCCGTAACACGTGGTCATGTAAAACCATTCAATTACTTCTAACCAATTTTCCACATGCAGCTTTTGATATGGCTTTATGCTTGGTGATCATATTAAGATGTACAGCAAGTTACGTCCGGTGTACTTTTACGAGATAAAAACAGTAATTTCCTTCTCTTCTCTTCATTATTTCTCTACATTCCCTCTATTTGCCTCCTTTTTATTGCTCTTTTCTTCTGTTGTTGCTTGTCGCTTAGCTTTTGTACTAATTCTTTCACATATTTTGTGCAATACACTTGCCTTTTATGCCTTTTTTTTCTATTGTGAAACGTTACTAGAAAAAATTTCTAATAATTTCTACAATTTAATTTTACGCGATTAATTTTTGCACGAGTTTGAGATAGACGGCTTTGTCCGTTGCTGACCGTTCGCTTTATTACTCCTCGTTTTTACCTCTTTTTTGCTCGAGATTCGTAGTCAAGCGAGCGAATTTCCATTCTTTCATCGCGTTACATTCCATTCCGCTTTTATCCACGAATTTCGCCTCGGTGCTTTTTTTTATCATATCTTTACCCGTCACGTTACTTATCCTTCGTCTCGCATTCGCATTCCGCATTTAGCGCTAAATATGACCAACCGGCATGACTTTATTCGTGTAATACAAAAATCGTGTTCAAGGATTATAAAAGTCAAACAGCCGCGTGTAAACGTTAAATGCATCGCGCACGTTTCCATCTCTGTATTCTTTATTTTCTTACACACACACACACACACACACACACACACACACACACACACACACACACACACACCCACACACACACTCTCTCTCTCTCTCACTCTCTCTCTCTCTCTCTCTCTCCCACATTTTCTCCGACGTTTGGTGTTCCGCGTTTCAGTTTCTTCGACATCACTCTCTCTTTGATATTCTCGTCATTTTCGAATTTTCTCTGCGAATTTTTGCTGTCATCTTCTCTGTCGACGCATCTTCAATTTTTCATTTCTCGATCGAGCACTTTTTCGTTTCCTGATATTTGCGTTTACCCTCACTCCCTCTCTCTCCCTCTTTTATTTTCTCTTGTCGATTCGTCTTTTCATTCGATTCCATAGTCCGATAATACACACTTTCGTGTCGCTGCACGCGGATCTATTTCTCGCTTTTCCAACTGCTTACTAGTAAAATCACTACAAAGAAGCGGATAGAAAATTGATGTTGACCAATTCTTATCTCTTTTTTTGTAATGTATCGAGTCCCATAGTATGACAAACTTTAAACAAAAATTACTTCCGATGAAAACGTTATACTAATGCAATGAAAATGAATAATAATTACATTTTCTTATTCATTTAATATAGAAAAATTATTTTATTTCATAATGTTTCTTCGGTATTTTAGATTTAATATTCTGAATACCTAATTAAGTATCATGAACAAGAACTGTGTAAATATTATTTTAGTTTTAATAGTGAGAAAGCACGTCACGACGTTTGCTACGTTTATGTTCCCTTCGGCATTTCAATGAGATTCTCTTCTAACCGCCGCTAATGTAATATTCCGAAATGTCTCAGACGAAAGGCCAAACATTCAAGATATATTTTACGATAAACGAAAGTGCATTCCGCTGCAAATAAAAGCTGATACTGCAACGATATTGCTTTTCTTCGCGCAGTGTTATTATGCCATATTCTACCTGGCAATTTGCAATACAACAGTCGAAATATTGAACTGTGTTTTAATGCAAAAATAACAATTGCGAAATATAATGATATTTATTGTATAGTAAATTTATATTAAAAATTCTAAATGATTTTTAAGTATTTTTATATATGCGTGTTTAGTGTAATTTGTAAATTTTACATAAAAATGTATCGACAAACATTTATTATTCAAATATCTAATAAAAAATATAATACACTGAGAAAAAATTTTGTTCAACTAACT